GGAGGGAGGAGAGAGGGACAAGGGAGGAGGTAGTGGGGAGCAGGGAGGAGGGAGGGGGGAACGAGGAGGCGAGGAGGAGGAAGAAAAGGAGGAGGAGGAGGCAGGAAAGAGGAGGGAGGAGGGAGGAGGGAGAAAGGAGGAGGTAGGAGGGAGGAAGGAGGAGGGAGGCGGAGGAGTGAGGCAAGAGGCAGGGAGGAAGGAGGAAGGAGGCAGGGAGAGAGGGAGGGAGGAAGGAGGGAGGGAGGGAGGGAGGGAGGGAGAATGACGTCACATCTGTCGCGAAACATTCGGGCCCGCCGGAGTTCCTGCTCACCGTCAAGACATCCACGGGGGAGCAGTGCTTGGGCACCGTCGACGAGAAACCCAAGGTCCAATGGACTAGGGGGCCCATCATGGCCAATTGGGGCAAACACTTGAAGCGTTCGATGCGGAATACCGGACCTTCCAGTCTCCATGATCGCTTTTAGACTCAACCTACGAGTTTCACCGTCGTTTTTTGGAACACGTGAAAAAAGCGGAAGTCTGCAGCGAAAAGGGTTTGTAAAGTGCTTCGGAGCTTTACTGTGCATCTCGTTGCGCTCTTGCAGGAGGTACCCACATGGGGCGACCAAGATGGTTTCACATTCTCCGGCCACACTGCACTCAGCGCAGAGCATTGTGACTGTGCCCTTCTTTTTCCTAGATCCGGGAGGCGGGCGCTCAGGGAGGTTGGGTCTGGCGAGTTTTGGTTTGGAACAGCAATTTCGAACATATACTTATCCGTGCATGCTTTAGACCACCTGGAGGAAGTTGGGCGGGCACAGCGTGTCTTCGATGAAACGGCGCGCTTTGGTGGTGTTGGGGGTGTTTACGACTCTCTGACGGGATATGCTGTTTTGGAGAGGCGGCCGAACCGCTCTCAGGCCAAGTGTTCGTCGTCGCATGCTGGCTGGATTCGCTGGGGGTCTGGCTGCTGAACACGTTCCGAAACGACCGCGTACAAAACGACGGACATATCGTGGCACATCTTTTATGGACGCACGAGTGTCCGCGGGGATCAAGGGGACGTCGTGGGCCCAGAAAGTACGTCATAAAGTGCCCAAGCGCTCGGATAATCGCCATCTGTTTACCCAGGCGTCCTGTCAAGTAGATGCGGGCGTTCACGCTCTTAGGCCAGCTTTGTTAACGGGATGGGTTCCGAACTCTCCCAAGGACCTTTTTGATTTCCGCACGGCGTGTGTCAAATGTATTGGGTCTGATTTACCCTCTGTGCAGAGTTCTGTTTTGGATTCCGCACTGATCATCAACTTCACCACCGCACATGGCCAGCTTCGGGAACGCAGGCGATAGTCTAACAACCTCGTCAAGGCAGCAAGACTAGCAATTGCTGCGGCCAGCATGGACGATAGACGGCATGCATTTCCGGAGTTGCGGAGGGCCATCCGACAGGCCAGGCGGACGAAGAATGCGTTGCGTTTGAACACCTGTATGGAAGAGGCCGCTTTCTGGACGCCATCCAAGCTAACCGTCGATGGCAATGTGACGCCTGATCGGGAGGTCTGGCGGCGGGCAGCTTTCGATTTTGGCCGAGATCGGTACGGAGATCTTTCGATCACGCACGACATCCAGGCTACCCGCTTACAGCGTTTGGGGAGTGTGGCGCGGAATGTACGACTCGACGGTTGCAGAGGTCCAGAGTTAAGTCCTTAGGGCGTCGTTCAAGGACGGGCCAAGCTGAAGATTGGCAAAGTTGCTGGCCACGATCGGGCCCCTGCCGAGATCTACAAAGCGTTGCCGATCCTCTGTGCCAGACAGTTCTGGACCGTATTTCAAGACATATTCAAAAACCCTTGGTTTGACTACCCTGAAAGTTTAAAACTCATCGACCTTACTGGTATATCTAAAGTGTCACAGCCAATCGCGATAACGGAATTTCGATGGGTTGGCAAATTGGACGTGTGCGCAAATTGTATTTGTTATCGCTACACCCGCATGTTCGACCCGCGTTATCTTCAAGCATGGTAGCGACGTTTGGATTTCGGCCAGGACATTCCTGCGATGACGTTGTTGGCATATTGCATCACTGCATTTTAATTTCGAACTAGTGGGGCATTACTTTGATACTTGGTGCCATGGATTGACACAGCTTTCGATCCCATGCATCACGAGCCGTTGGGCACAGCATTGCTGGCCAGAGGGGGATGCATTATGCGTTAGTGACGGCTCTCCTGCGCGAGGTGTCTGGTATGAAGTGTAATTTGACGTTGCCTGGGTCGGATCCTTGTGAACGTTCTGACTTAGAGAAGGGTGGAAAACAAGGTGGCGTAGACACACCACAACTATTCAATGTCTTGTTGGAGGAGGCCTGCAGCGATCTTTTCAGGAGTTTGCAGGAGTTCGGTTACGGCTTCCCTCTCAACGAGAACGGCGACGAGCGCAGTACTCACTTGATATGGGCGGACAACGTACTTCTTCTCGCGTCAAGTCTAGAGGAATTTGCGACGATGGTCCAGCAATTCACGCAAGCAGTCGGCAGGCTTCAATTTTACATGGAAGCTGTCATCTTTGGAGTGTATGTTTTGTGGACCTGTCTCGATTGCTCCCAGTAGCCCGCCTACTGTGACTGGAAGAGGCAGTATCTACCCTTTCAAGGTTGTCGACTCTATGATGGCCCTGGGAGCGTTAATCGGCAGGGAGGGGGACACGACTACATCTCTAAACCACCCGATCGGCAAGGGCGAAGGAAACTTCTGGAGCAATGCTCACATTTTCCGGGGGCCGGGGAGCACGGAATCTAAGCTTCGGGAATGGTTTCGAGGCCCAGCGGCCAGGGTCGTCTATGGCTCTTCCACTTGGCATCTCTCCCAGCACGTTCTTACGAGGATCAATCGATGGGAACTTACAGTGCCACGGAAGGTGTTTGGCTTCAATCGGAGTCCCGGGGAGGGGCGCGCGCTGTTCATGCAGCGCGCCGCCCGGACCATCGAGTCCCGCTTTGAGCACTCCAACGTCGCGCCGATGCACAGCTGGGTCCTTCGCGACGTCCTCAAAAACGCGTGGCGAGAAAGACCAATGCCGCTGCGTGGTGGGAGGATGTTTCTTACATTTGGCGCGACAGTTTCGGAATCGCGAGTGGTGGGAGTCAGTGAGAGTGATGGAGGGTGAGAGGAAAAACGAAGGGAGGGCATTCTTCATGCTGGGATGGGCTACCAGAGTGACTGACTGGGAGGATATGTTTGTCAATGTGTGCGGTGTCGATGTGGCGGTCTTGTCGAGACGGGTTCTCGGCCGAGGCAGAGTGGATGGCTATGTTTCCAGCTCTCCAGAGGCATTTGTGCACGCAGTGGGGGCTGTTTTGCAAGACAGCTGACGCCAACGCACTCGGTCACGACTTGGTCCAGAGCGCACTTAGGAAAGAAGATAAGCCACGCATCCGTTGGACCAGCTTCGGATGGGTACGGCGACGACGCGCCCGTCGTGCAGTGGGACGGAGTGGCCAGACGCATATTGTGCATTACGGATCGCAAGCCTCTGGCCGGCGTGGTCAATGGAACCACCGCGCTGGCAGCGCCCTCCCTCGGACCCGTCTTCGCTCGAACTACGCCGAGCTTGTTCCACATAGTGGGGTATTGATGGAGGCCGATGCGGATGACTTGGTCGTGTGGCGCAAACGTGATAGGCATATCAGAGCAGATTATTTGGTTAACCATGCAATACACGAAAACCGATATTGTATCAAGTATTTCCGACAGAGTCTCTGGATCTGAACCATGCCAACTTTCTGATTCACAGCGGCGGCGGCACTCGAGCAGGGTCGTGTTCGGCAGCCGCCTGGTGCGTGGAGGCTGCGACGCGCCGCGGTCCGATGGAATGCATTCGCCTGCTTATGATAGCCGGCCGGCATGTTCGTCAGCGATCCAGTTTCTTCTTTTTCAGCGGAGGCGCTTGCCCTAAAGGAAGCGGCGCGGGCTTTACAGTTCTTTGCCAATAAGATACGATACCGGCCAACAGCGACCTGATCTAGACCCGGCGAAAGAAAGAGGGAGCGAGGGAAGGAAGGAGGGAGGAGGTGGAGGAGGAGGAGCTGGAGGACGAGGAGGAGGAGGAAAGGACGAGGAAGAGGATAATGATGATGATGATGATGATGATGATGATGATGATGATGATGATGATGATGATGATGATGATGATGATGATGGTGGTGATGGTGGTGATGATGTTGCTGATGATGCTGATGATGATAATGATGATGCGGGTGCTGATGCTGATGCTAATGATGATGGTGATGATGATGGAGGATGGTGATGATGGTGATGATGGTGCTGATGGTGATAATGCTGATGCTGATGATGATCGCCATGGTGATATATGAGGGTGATGCTGCTGCGGATGATGATGTTGATGATGATGATGATGCTGACGCTGATGCTGCTAATGATGATGATGGCGGTGGTGGTGGTGATGATGGTAGTGGTGATGATGACGACAAGGACTAATTATGATGATGATGATGGTGATGATGATGATGATGATGATGATGATGATGATGGTGGTGGTGGTGGTGGTGGTGGTGGTGATGAGGAGGAGGAGGAGGGGAGGAGGAGGCGGAGTAAAAGGATGATGATGATTGATGAGGAGGAGGAACAGCAGGAAGAGGAGGACGAGGAGGAGGAGGCGGAGGAGAAGGAGGAGCAGGAGGATGAGGAGGAAAAGAGGAAAGGAGGAGAGGAGAGGGAGGAGGGAGGGAGGAGGAGAGGAGGAGGAGGTTGGAGGGGGACGCAGAGAGGTGAGGAAGCTGGATAGAGGCGGGGGAACAGGCATAGGGAGGAGGAGGAGGAGGAGGAGGAGGAGGAGGAGGAGGAGGAGGAGGAGGAGGACGAGGAGGAGGAGGAGGAGGAGGAGGAGGAGGAGGAGAAGGAGGAGGAGGAGGAGGAGGGCCTGCGTCAGTTTTGCACCATGGTAAGAACATATCGCCCGATGGCCGCCCGTGATCGGCTCCGCCAGCCCGCCCCCGCTCCGAGGTCGGGTTCATCACGGGCATTCCCGCCAACATTCACGTTCCGTCCGGCGACGACGCGGGCAAGGAACAGGGGTCACCATGAAGAAGGGTCTGGGGTTGCTGCATGTGTCTCTGGCCCACGGTGTTCCCAGCTTTCCAGTCCATTTCGGCCCCCCTTGGGGCCCCGTGGGCCCCATGAGGAGTGCCATGAAGGCCGAGGGCGCCCTCTTTGGAATCCCGGGGACACCTTGGGCTAGGGTCATTTTGGCAACACCCGAAGGAGGGGTCCTGAGGGAAAGCATGCCCCCCAGGCTGTTTTAAATAGTTTTCGGACTCCCAGGGCCCTCCCGCGGGCCCCAGGCTGAAAAGACGCCATTGGGCAAAGCCGCGTGGGCCAATGATCAGTTCCAACCAAGGCCCGTTCTTGTCATTGCCAAAGGAAGGGGTACATGTCATGCGTTGTGTAGAGTTGATCTCGGCCCCTCGTCGTCGTCGTCGTCGTCGTCGTCATCGTCGTCGTGGTCGTCGTGGTCGTCGTGGTCGTCGTCGTCGTCGTCGTCGGCGTCCTCGTCCTCGTCCTTGTCCTCGTCCTCCGCTCTTCTCCTCCCTCCATCCTCCCTCCTGCCTCCTTCCCCGGAGGTCTCCGAAGGTTTCTCTATGGTGTTTCTGGAGGGTCCCAAAGGCTTCCAGAGGCACGGCAAGAGGGGCCAAAGACTTTCAATTTCAAGACCTGGATCTTCGACGCTCGTCTGTTCCTCCTGCAGGATAAGGTCCAAATTTTCTTGGCCGGCCCTTGGCCGCGATGGACGGGAGCTAGGCGCTGTTCCAGGGACCGAGGTGATGAGACATCGGCACGCGCACGCACTGCTCGCGCGCAAGCCAGAACAAGCTGAAGGGCAACGCTTCGTGCTGCCACGGAGTGATTTCACGGATTCGTGAGATGTTTAATTACGTATTGGCTGGAAGATGCAGTCAGGCGCTTTGCTGCAGACAACGACGTCGATTCGTGGTTGCTGCAGGCCCACGACTTCGTCGAGTGGCTCAGCGCTCAGTGAGTCAACACGCGACGGTTCTGCGCCCCTTCCCTTGTTGACCCTCCTCGGGGATGCAGCCGCTTCCAGTTTCGCTTCGCGACTTGGTAATGGCTTACCTTCGATTCGGCTTGGCATGAAGCCTTGTCAGTCTCGTGCGTAAACAAGAGGGCCTCAGCATTCGGTATCAAAAGATACCTGCGCGTCCCCACGGGTAGATGGGGCGCGGCCACACCCAAAAAGTGGAGTGCTTCATGTTCTTGGTGCTGGTTGTTTCAGTGTGTATATATCGCAAAGCTGTGCCATGCTTCGGGTTTTCGTTGAATCGTCCATCACCGTCCCACGATGACCCCTGGTAGATGGCAGCAAATTTGTTTCGTGTGAAAGTTGCGCTGCAATCGTACCTTCTTGCTGTTTTTTTCAAGACGCGGGGACATACGCGCTATATGTACATCAACATGTATGGGAGATTTCACATCGTGAAGCGAGGAGGGGAGCGAGCAGGCGGCCGCACCGCGCTTCCGCGGCCGATCTGCTCAAGCTCCGAGGCCCCAGGGGCTTCCGAGCGGAGGCGCGTCGGGCCGCGCATGGACCCCGCCGGCCTCCTCCTTCGCGAGGCCACGCGGGGGTTCGCCGCGGGCGCGGCGGCGTGGGGCGCGGCCTGGGGTGCGCAGTGCCCGTCTTGCCCTGCGTGCCCCTCGTGCACGTGCTCCTGCGAGCCGCGGCTGGCGTGCCCAGGCGGCTCGGTCTCCGAGGTCCAGCGGCCAGAGCTGCTGGGGGCCAGCCTCGCCTGGCTGGCCAGCGTGGCCGTGGGGGCCGCCGCGGGCTGGGCTTTCGGCAGGTGGAGCAGCGCTGCTCCATCCCCGGCCCCTGCGCCGCCTAGCGCGGCCGCGGAACCTGCTCCAGCAGCGCTGGAGGCGCCGGCCTCTGCAGCGCAGCTGGCGGCGGCGCAGGTGGCGGCTCTGCGTGCCTCGCGGCCTCAGCTGACCCGCTGAGCAGGAGATGGCGATGGCGGCCGTGCACCCCGTTGCCGCGCTGGGCCTTCAGGAGGGGGACTTCATCCTGGTCGAGTACGCGGGGTACCCCAACGTGTTTCACGAGCGCTTGGTGGTGCTCGCTCCCGACGGCTCTAGCCTCACCTGCACCCTCACGCCCGACGACGACAGCTATGAGGAGGATCTCTTCTCGGCCGCGGAGGTGCGGCGCTGGCTTCCCTGTGATGGCGGGCGCATGGGCGCCTACCCGCCGGCGGCCGCAGGTATGCACGTGCACGGCTTCAGGGGGGTTCCCTCGCCCGTGCGGGTCGCGCAGGTGCTGGCGGCTGCAGCGGCGCGGCTGGGGATCCAGCTAGGCGCAGGCGATGCGGTGACGCCTTACCTGATTGGCGGCGGCGGTGGAGCGCGACCTCGGCCTGGCGCAGTGGGAGCGGCGGCGGCTGCTGGAGGTTTGGTGGCAGCGCCTGCTGCCGGCGGAGGCATGCCGCCCGCTGGGGTGCTGGTCGCTGGACCGCCTGCTGCGCCCGCGCCCGCGGGTGGTGCCCCCGCTGTGGCGGCCGGAGTTGCCGGCCTGGCTGCCGTGCTTGGGGGCGCGCCAGCGGCCCCCGCGGCAGGCGCTCCCGTGGCCGAGGGCCCGCCGCCGCCGCTGGTCGCGGCGCCCGCTGCTGCGCCGCTCGCCGCCGTTGCTGCAGCTGGTGGTGGTGCGCTGGCCGCCCCTGCGCAGGCCGACGCGCGCATCCAGTCGGTCACCTACGACCTGCAGGGGCAGCGGCACGCGGACTTTCGCACGGCGGTCATGGGCATGTCGGAGGGGGCCTTCCCTGACTGGCCAGTCAGAGGCCCCGGGGCGGCGCTGTGGGTCCTCAAGTTCATGGAGGCCCACGGAGGCACTCCGACGGGGCGCCACTCGCGGTGGCTGTCGGAGACGCGGCTGCAGGGCCATGAGCCAGGCGTCGACGAGCGCGAACGGGCTTGCAGGACGCTCGAGCGCATGGTGATCTACGACCAGCTCAACGTGGCGAACCTCGCCTCAGGCGAGATGCTAGCCAGGACCGTGCAGCTCCAGGAGGAGCGCTACAGGGATCGAGCCGCCCCGGCAGTCGACTCGGGGAGTCTCGACGCCCACGTGCTGATGGGCACCGACCAGCTTCGCGGTAACGTGCGCGTGGCGCCGTTGCTGCAGGACCACATCAAGGACGAGCTCACGAAGATGAACGCTTACCGCAAGGAGCAGCGCAAAGCCAGAGAGGAGCGCGACTTGGCCCGCAAGAACAAGAAGGGGACCAAGGGCGACAAGGGCTCTGGCAAGGATGACAAGTAGCCTCGGAGCGGGGGGCGGAGTTGGGCGGCCGCTCCCGCCACTTTGCCCACCTGGCGCCGCCGTCTCGGTCGCCAGGTCACCTCCGCTCTCACGCCGTGCTGAACCAGACGCGCGCCAGCGGGATATCTTCCCCTTGCCGTACTTGGGCCGCCGGCACGAGGGTGCCAGTTTTGGGCGCAGCCGCCGTGGACGCCATCAGGTTCCTGATGACGCTCTCTGGCACGACTGGGCCAACGACGCCATCGACGTCATGGACGCTGTGTGTGCTCCTGGGGCCCAGCCGTCTTCCCTCGGTCTCGCCGAAGGTCAACGGGCGTCCCTCGCGCGCATCCAGTCTGCCTTCGCATGCCTCAAGCCGATCGTTGAGGATGAGGGCTTTCCCGAAGGTGCTCTTTCGGATCTTCTTTCTGGCTCCCCGCTGTGCGCGTCGGGCGGGCCGCGCCGACCCTACTCGCGGGACCTGATCTCGTGGCCCGATGCTGGTGACGACCCTGTGCCTCTTACGAAGGTCGTTGCTGGCCCGGGCGCTCAGTGGCTTAGGGACTGGAGCACGAAAATGCTACGCGGTCGCGAGGCGGCAGACGCCCTCCTGCAGCAGGTGTGCCCGCGGGGGCCGTACGTCGATCCCCATCTTGCTTTCTCTCCGGCGACCTTCGCCGACTTCCTTGCTGAGATGTTGCAGCGGAAGATGATCTGCTTCGAGGCGGAGGACCCCAGCATCAAGCCTATTGGAGTCTTCTGTGTCGCAAAGAAGAGCAATCGTCTGAGGCTCATTTTTGACACGCGTACTGCGAACGCGAACTTCACGGACCCGCCAGCCACTGCACTGCCAAGCGCCGCAGCCTTCGCTGGCCTGGAGGCGCCTGGAGGCAGGGTCGTTGTCGCCGCTGGTGATATTGACAGCGCCTTCTACAGGATGCTGATGCCCGAAGGCCTCTGCCGCTACTTCAGGTTGCCACCCATCGACCGACGGCACTTGGAGGCGCGTGGTATTTCTGGTCTTCCTGGTGCCCCGCGTGTTCAGGCGTGCCTGGTCGTGCTCCCGATGGGCTTCTCGTGGGCGCTCCACCTCTGCCAGCTGGCGCTGCGCACAGCGGTGTCGCGGGCTGGCGTGCCGGCCCACCTGGTCATCGAGGACGGGCTCCCAGGCGTCTTGGTGGAGCCTCAAGGCCAGGCGGCGGTCGCTGGATACGTTGACAATTACCTGGCCGTCGGCAGTGCAGAGGCCGAGGCCGATCGCGCGCTGGACCGCATTACCGCGGAGCTGGAGGGCGCTGGCGTGAAGGTCCACGAGCCCGAGCGGGCGTCCGACACGTGCAGCTTTCTCGGGATGGAGTTGAGGCAGGGCCGCTGGCTGGCCATCAAGGGGCGCATGGTCTGGAGGCTGAAGTTCGCCATTGAGGAGCTGTTGAGGCGCGGGCGCGCCTCAGGTCACCTCGTGCGCGTGCTGGTGGGCCACCTGACCTGGGCCTCGATGGTCAGGCGAGAGGCGCTGGGGCTCCTCGACGCCACCTGCGCCTTCATGCTGGCCGCGGGCTCGGTGGTGCAGACGCTCTGGCCTTCCGTGCGCACGGAGCTTTGGCGCGCTCGCTGCTTGCTGCCGCTCCTGGTGGCGGACCTCACGGCGCCCTGGGCCACGCGGCTCGTGGCGAGCGACGCCAGTGAGGAGGGGCTCGGCGTTTGCCGTCGACAGGCTTCGAGTAGTCTCATAGCTAGCTGTGGGCGGCTGTGCGAGCGGTGGCGGTATCGTGTGGAGGGCGGGGCGCGTGCGAGAGATCGAGCGCTCCTCTCCGCTGCTCCCGCCTGCCTGCCTCGTGCCTCGTTGTCGGATGCAGGTCTTCGCGAGTCAGCGGGGAGGGAGGTCTCGGTTGATCACAGTCAGTTGAACTTCGTCTCGGCTTCGCCTGGCACGCTGGACCCCTACGAGATTCCCGAGGACCCCGACACGGAGCTCCACGGCGAGGACCCCCTGATCTTGGATCTCGGCAAGAAGCTCAAGGAGTTCAACGAGGTGCCCACGGGTCTCCTGGATGCTAAGTCTTGGAAGGGTGTGGTGGCCACGAAGGTCCAGGAGGGCCAGAACATCTTGGGATTGGAAGCAGACGCCTTGGTTGTCGCCTACAAGCATCTTTTGAGGTCTTCAGCCTGCCGAGGGAAACGGGTTCTGGCACTTGTCGATAACATGCCTTTGTGTCTAGCCGTTGCGAAAGGAAGAGCATCTTCAGCTTATTTACAACTTCCACTGTTAAAGATTTGTATGATGTCACTTGCCACAGGAACGAGATTGCACTGTAGATGGATTCCGTCAGAACGCAACCCCGCCGACGCTTTGTCTCGAGGGCGCCGCACCTGGTTTTCAGATTCCGACGCCCGTGCAGCGCCACCTCTGGCGCATGGCGGCGAGGCGCTGCCAGGCTGCTGGTCGCCCTGCAGTCCTTCGCCGACCTGCGAGGAGGCCGCCGCCAGCTGCCTTGGAGGCCCAAGGCAGGCGAGCAGCGCTGGCCGGCCGCCTGATGGCCGAGCGGCCGCCGCTCGGGCGGCTCAGCGCCCTGGAGACGCTTGCGGTGCGGTCCAGCACGGAGGGGCAGTATCGGCGGGTCCTGACAGAGTTCACCGCCTTTTGCTCTGCGAGCCGCCTGGACTGGAAGGACTTCGACCAGCTCGACTCAGTGGCCACTCGCTTTCTGAACCGTCAGTTCGAGTTCGGGGCCCCTGCCAGCCAGGGCTCGCTGCTGCTGGCGTCTCTGGCGCACTTCTTGCCAGGCCTCCAGGGCTCGTGGAAGGCGCAGCTGCCGCGGGCCACCAGGAGCTCGGTCGCGTGGGCGAGGCGCGTGCCTTCAATGACCCGCGTGCCCCTGCCGTACTTTGCAGCGGCAGCGCTTGCCGGGCTCCTGGCCATCAGCGGGCGTCGCCGCATGGCCCTCTGGATCCTGCTGTCGTTCAGCTGCTGCCTGAGGCCGTTCGAGGCGCAGGGGCTCCGCGGCGGCTCGCTAGTGCGCCCGGCGGCGCAGGCCGCGGCCTCGGCGGCCAGCTGGGCGCTGCTTTTGCACCCAACCAGCGGCGGCCGCCCAGGCAAGACAGGGTTGTACAACGAGAGCGTGGTGATCGATCTCGACCGGCACTTGTGGCCGCTGCTTGCCGGCCTCAAAGGCGCCCTGGGCCTCGACCAGAACCTCTGGGACTTCACCCTGCCGGCGCTGCGCGAGCGCTTCAGGGAGTTCGCCGATCTGCTTCAGCTCCAAGCCCTCAACCCGACCTTGTACGCGCTGCGCCACGGCGGGGCGAGCTGGGACCTGCTGGAGGGGAGGAGAACCTTGGGGCAGACGCAGAGGCGTGGCAGGTGGGCTTCGCCGGGCAGCATGAAGCGGTACGCCAAAGAGGCCTACCTCCAGGATGCCATGACCAAAGTCCCAGATTGGGTCTTCGTGTTCGGCCGCTTCGTGCATGCCAACCTGCTAGAGATTGTCGAGCTGGGGCCCGCCCTGCCGCAGCGTCCGCGCCTGTGGCAGCAGTTGCCCGCGCCCGTGCAGGCGCTGATCGCAGCCGCGCTGCCGTAGCTTCTCCTGCTCAGATTCAGCGTCACTTGAAGCGGCTGCTCGCCGGCCAGCTCAAGTCTGCCCGCAAGCGGCAGCACGGTGTCTTCTTGGAACTTTTTGGTGGGACTGGTCAGGTCGCTAAGGCTTTTCGGGCTGAAGGATTTGGAGCTCTCAGTTTAGACCTATTGCATGGCCCCTGTGAGGATCATCTTGACAAAACTTTTGAAAGGCTCGTTTGTGGCTGGATCAAGAGTGGCCTTGTCTTGGGAGTTTTCTTAGGCACTCCGTGCACGTCTTGGACGCGGGCCCTTCGTAAACCTCTTCGCGATGCTACCTCGCCAATGGGACTGCCCGGTCTCTCGGAGAGCGAGTCTGCTAGAGCTCGTATAGGTAATGCGACCCTTCACTTTTCGTGCCGCGTGATAACGTTGGCCAGCCTCTTTAGTGTGCCAGTCCTGCTAGAGAATCCGCAGACTTCTTTGCTCTGGGCGGCGCCGCGTCTCGCTCGCCTCAGTGCTCAACCCGAATCCAGCTGTGTAGTGTGCCACCTCTGTCAGTGTGGTGCTCGCTGGCGTAAAGCCACTCGATTGCAGGGATGGAACATCTCCAGCATGCAGCCACTTACTCGTAAATGCAGTGGAAAGAAAGGTATTTGCTCTCGCACGGGCGAGCATCACATAGAACTGTCAGGGACAGCTCCAGGCGGCCGCAAGTGGACCAGCCTGGCCGCCGCCTACCCTTTGCCCTTTGCTCGATCTGCTGCCGCTGTCCTGGCGCACTCTTCCGAGCAGATGCACGGTCTTCGTCTAGCTGACATCATGTGTTCGTGAATTTCAATCTTCTTTTAGTAGCCCCTGGGGCTCCGGCCGTAGGCCAGTCTGCCTGCCCGTTTGGGGGAACGGGAGTTGTGCTTGCTTATGTCTCAGAGGGGCGCTTGACCGCCCCAGTTTAGCTCGCTTCCCATGGTTGCCGTTCGCGCATGCACACGAGAAAATGAGGTCTCATCGAGACAGCTTTCGCTGCATGGCCGCCCAGGAGTGTCCGTACTTGCTGGGAGATTTCACATCGTGAAGTGAGGAGGGGAGCGAGCAGGCGGCCGCACCGCGCTTCCGCGGCCGATCTGCTCAAGCTCCGACCCACCCACCTCTCCCCTTCTCCTCTTGGTCCCGTCTGTATAGTGCCTGCTGGAGTTGTGCTTGCTTATGTCTCAGAGGGGCGCTTGACCGCCCCAGTTTAGCTCGCTTCCCATGGTTGCCGTTCGCGCATGCACACGAGAAAATGAGGTCTCATCGAGACAGCTTTCGCTGCATGGCCGCCCAGGAGTGTCCGTACTTGCTATATATATGTTTGTGTATAGTTTTTGAAAGATGCATGGACTGAATTGGCTCGCCTGTATCGTAAATTTGTGTGCTGTTGGCGTGCTAGCGCCACATGCTTCTTTCCGTTGCATATTGTGTTGTGCCTGAATGGGCTGCTGTTGTCTCATGCGTTGCCACGCTCGTTTGTTGTTTGCACTCGCGCTCCTGTCTCTCTTGCCCGCGATTTGGCCGTCGGTGTCGCCATCATAATTTGGTCTCGTCTTCATCGACGTCATTTTGGCTTACGACGGGCGCCTGCTTCCAGAGGATCGAGACAAGGACGATACCACTGCTGATAGGCGGGGTGTCTTTGCACGCAGTAGCGAACTTTGAGCCGTTTGCAAGTGGGATCCAATTTGCATTCGCTTGCGCTCTAACTTGCAGCCTGTACGTATTGCTTGCCCGCCAGGCTGTGGCACGCGCACCAGAGAGTTTGGAATCGGTTGCATCACATGTCTATTATTTTCCTCCTAGCCTGCAGCGGTCCACAGCAACAAATCTCTCTCTCTCTCTCTCTCTCCCACTCTTCCTGCAAAAGTATGTTGATGGGTGGGGCTGTGGTGGATTGGGGCCTGCTTGTGCTCTACTGGCTGGACAGGACCTTTTCTTCAATACCTCTCCTCCACGTACTGAGGCTGCTGCCTACGCCCGCGCCGGCCTGCCCACTCTTCCCGCCCTCTCTGCTGCTCGAGTCCCCTCCTGGTCTCTCCAGGGGCAACGGCAGAGGGGGAGAGGCTCACGGGGAGACGCATCGACCCCCCTAACCCGCCTATTCATCGCCGATAGGGGCCTGGTAGCCCACTCCGCCCAGGAGCGTGCGGTTTCGCTATCGGGGGCCTGTCGCCGATCCATCGGCGATGTATCGACGATTTCATGTCGACGTTTCTTCCCCGCGTCAGTCCCCTCCTACCGTTGCCCCTCGCTCACCCCCTGTCGTTGCCCCTCAGTTCGCGCCACAGGCTCGGAGCCTTTCCGATGCCCACGGGCATTAACGTCTGGACGCTGGCCCTCCTTTGCAGGCTTGCCCCAGTGCGCTGC